CTGAATCATACCAATGGTCTACTCCTGTGAATGAATAATTCCATACTCGCATATACTATACTTATGTATGTGTGTGTGTGTGTGTGAGAGAGAGAGAGAGAGAGAGAGAGAGAGAGAGAGAGAGAGAGAGAGAGACGAGCTGGAAATATGAGATATATAATATAATGAAAAAGAGATCAGATAAATAACGAGATAAATAACGAGAGGTCAAAAAGAAAATTATTGGTGAGAGAAGTGAAACATTCGAGATGAGACAGTTTTAGCTCAAATCAAAGCAGAGCAGAAAGAGAAACTGAGACACGTTTCAAGTTGGATCAAGTGGTTTTATTCAACGTCTGAACCTGACGGGCAACATAAATCACACGTTCAAATTAAACAATACACGAAGTATAGATCTAGTTCAGCGACAGCTTTAGCACAGGCAGAGACAAAACTTTCATTTTCAGTACCTTCACTGACCCAGCCCTTTGAATTTGGATGACTTGCTCTCACACTGGGTTTCCAGTCTGACCTTTGTACAGGTCCAAATGAGCTCATACCTCTCATCTCAGCATTTGTATGTACCGGGGTATTGTCAGATTTTCATGAGTGTAAAATACTTAACCAGAAGTTCACCATATTTTCTGGAGCAGAATCTGTTTACTTCAGAATGAGTAGGTCAACTGACAGTGACAGCCAGCGTTACTGCCCGCTCATTATATGACCTTGTACTTTTTTTAAAAAATTATTTTATTGGGAGTTTTTTTTTTTGGGGGGGGGGAGGCAGAACTGTTTATATCCACGTTAATTACTGTCTTTTTAATATATTATGAGTCAAGAAGGTAGGGAAAATCTGTGAGTTGAGTACAGCATATCATACAGAGAAATAGTGCAGTGTTTTGATAAAGAACGCTTTGAGAAAGAATTTAAGAAATCATCTGACTTTTATTACGTGATATTCATTGATGATGGTAATCTTGGCAATGATTCCCTCATTCTGTTGTCACTGTTCATATAGTAATTAGGTTTGTTGTAGCTTTAATTACTTTGCTTCGATGTTATTGGTGTTATTTCTGTTATGATGTTCTTGGATTTATAGTTATCTTACTGGGGATATTTTTCTACTGTTGATTCTTCTAACCACCAGTACACGGATCGCTGCTTCTCCGTTGTTCGCATCCAGTCTTGACATCTAAGTTTGCAGCACTCCAAACTTCACGATAACTCCACTCCGGTTTCATCTATTTACATGAAATCAATATCAAACAAACTAGAAATGAAGGATCCAAACAATGAATTTACAGTTTGATTATAGACAACATGGACTGGCTAAGATTTGATGGATTTTTGTTACCACTGAAAAAAAAAACAACCTCAAACGAACAACAACAAAAAATATCCCCCCCCTCCCATAAAAACCCAAACAACAACAACAAACAAAACAAAAAATAAAAACGAGTGATGCCGTGAGCCAGTTGAACTAGCGCATCGTAAACTACGCACCTTTTGCTGTATGGTCGTCCTTTGATTCATACAAGATTTTCCTGGTGATGGCCTCATGGATTGCTTTCGCCTCAGCTGCTGCTTTCTTTCTTTCCTTCATTGTCTTTGCATCTTCTTTGTTTTGCTCGGGAGGGGGTTTTGTCTGGTCGTCCAAATTTGTCTTGTGACTTGGTCTTTCCATTTTCTCGTCCACCCCGAGCGGCGAAGCAACCGAAGGAGGCTTGTCCTCTGTACCCGGGCTACACCCACCAGCCTCTTCCTTGCAGCCTAACTTTTTGTGGCCGTCTGCAGCCTTATTGGTTGCTTGGATAATTTCGGCACAGTCAGCAACGCCTATCGGAACATCCCCACTTCTGTTTTTCTCCTTATTGGTATCACTTTTTGAGTAGCAGCTGAAACCATCTTTCTGAGACGCGGTTCCCATCCTTAGCGTGCCTTCGCCTCTTGCTTCTCGCGTTTGTTTCGTATCCATTACCTTCAAATAAATGCTGTTTTCTACATCCAGAAAATGTGAATCTTTGACCTTAACACAAGGTGACCACCAGACTGAATGGAAGGGGACACAGTTAAGAACAATTATGGAACCCCAAAGGCATAAGATAGCACGATCTTCAGTTTTACATGAAAGTTTATGAAAATGTGTAGGTGGGGGTGGTTTCGCCGTGGGAAGCCCGCTTGACAATATCTTTCTAAATGCTGATAGTGTAGACGATGGTTTTCCTCCACACTTTGGAAAAGATTGGTAATTTCCGGAGCTCGGATCAGGAATATCGTGTCCAAAAGTAGCCGATGCTGCGTGATAATGTTTGATATTCTCTTGCGACTCTTTCAATAATGTAATCTGAGACTTAAACCCTTCTGCTTGTAGTTTTGCGTGCAAGTTTTCTTCATTCAGTACTTGCATTTGTGTCATTATCTGGGATATCAGAGCTGTTTGATTCATCATAAATTGGAACAATTTCTGGTTTTGAGCTTCCAAATCGGTAGATCTGCTCATGAGTTTTTGAACCAACTCGGACTGGTTCATCAGCTGCCGTGAGAGCTCGCCAAGTTTTGCTTTCTGTTGTGTTATAAGTTCCTTGCTTCCGTTGTCTGCTATAGCTGGGTATTTTGGTCTTAAGGGGCTCATACTTTGTACATATTCTAGTTCTTTAAACGAATACTTTCCCCTCGAGTTGGATTTTAAGGCCTCGTGAGAATCGCTTAGTTTCTGGTAGCTTTGGTTGAGTTTTAGAAGTTCATTTTCGAGTTTTAGAATGTGGTTTTCCAGTTGAGCAAATGCTGTAGAATCTTCTTGTTTATCCAAACTTTGAGATAGAATTTTATTTTCCAGCTTGACTATCATAAGTTCCAAATTTTGTATCCTGGAGACTTGTTCCGATTCTTTCGCGTGTAGCAATTGTTCTAAAGCTTCTATGTCCCTCCTACTGCGGACTGACTGTTCATCAGAAGCGGTTTCTTTATCAGCATCGGGAGTTTTTTTGCGTTCTTCCTGGTCAACTTTCGGAGTAGCAACGTGTACATGTGAATCAAGAACAGGATCAGAATGACTTGATTCATTTTCTATTGGTGATTTATCGAATGTATTGTCTACGTTTTCCGTATCAAAGACTTCAGACTCAATTGTCACGTCACTTAATGTAACTTGAGGCATATTGTTGCTCTCGTTTTCCTGATCAGAGCTGCTTGCGTGTGTGGTCATATCCTCGTCTGAGCTGTCAGTGACAGTTTCCTTTTGTTCTCCCGGGTGCGTCACGTCTCCAACAGGCCGCAAATCTGTGTGAATATAGTTTGTTTTCTGCGCTGCTTCATCTGCGTGTTCATCTTCTTTTACGTCTTCCCTCGAGCCTTCAACTTCCATGTGAGTTTTCGACCCGGTCTCGTCACTTTCCATGTTTTTGGAGTCTTCGGGATCAAAAGCGTGCGCTGCATTTTCGGTGCTCTCGCTATTGGTTTGCTTTTTATTTTCAGCGTTTGTGTTATCATCTTCATCTTCTTTTACAGCTCCCCTCGAGCCTTCAATGCCCATGCCTTTTTTCGACACGGCATCGTCACTTTCCATATTTTTTGAGCCTTCAGGATCGGTAGCGTGCGTTGATTCTTCGGTGCTGTCGCTACTGGTTTGCTCGCTATTTTCAGGGTTTGTGTTTTGCGCTTGTGATTCTTCGGGGGGCACATATTTATCGTCTTCTGCTGGACTATCCGAGTGTTCATCTTCTTTTTCGTCTTCTTTCGAGCCTTTAACGTCCATGTCGGTTTTTGACACGGTATCGTCACTTGCCATATTTTTGGAGTCTTCAGGATCGGGAGCGTGCGGTGACTCTTCGGTGCTCTCGCTATTGGTTTGTGCGTTATCTTCAGGGTTTGTGTTATGCGCTTGTGTTTCTTCGGCGGACACATATTTATCGTCTTCTGCTGCAGTATCAACAAGAATTTCTTTCTTATCAGTGACCTGGGGTTCAGGAGCATTATCAGCTAATAAACTCCGAGTCTCATTGTGGGCTGTGCCATCTTTATCACACACACCAAGAAGAATGTTACAATACTGGCAAAAATGAACCGACGTTTGGATGGACTTGGCTTTAGAAGTATTTATTGTGCGACACAGTTTCCTGTAGATGTCCTTAGATGTGGGTGAATTATATAGATTCTTACGGGTAAATTTATCGTTTCCTTGAACAACTGTTTTCCCAGGGGGGATTTCGCCAAGTTTTGAAGGCTTGGAATCATTTTTTGAATCCACCTTTTCAATTTCATCGTCGTTCTCATCTGAATCATCAATATCCTCATCTTGATCCTCATCTAGATCGTCTTCCTCTTCCAGTGTATTTTCGTCTAAGGTGTCTTCGTCTTCTTCTGGCTCGTTATCATCAAGTGCATCTATCACGTTTTCCTCCGTCTTTTCCTCTTTTTCATCTTCAATTGCTTTTTTAAGTCCATCTGTTTTTCTTACCTCCTCTTTGTCCTCGTCTACCCTGGGCACATTCCTAACGTCTGGTGTATCTTCATCATTTCTATCTGGCGTCTTCTTTTCTTCCTCTTCAACGTTTTTCTTGACCGGATCTTTTTTATTTTCTTCTTTATCTTCGTGCCTCTTGGAATTATCTATACCACTGTCAACATTTCTCTCTTCTTCTTTGTTATCATCCTCATAGAAGATGACCGTCTCCTTTTCTTCCTCTTCAACGTTTTTCTTGCCCGGATCTTTTTTATTCTCTTCTTTGTCTTCCTGCGTCTTGGAATTATCTATACCACTGTCACCATTTCTCTCCTCTTCTTTATTGTCATCCTCATAGAAGATGACCATCTCCTTTTCTTCCTCTTCAACTTTTTCCGTACCCGGATCTGTTTTAATCTCTTCTTTGTCTTCATGCGCCTTGGAATTACCTATACCATATTTATCATTACTCTCCTCTTCTTCATTGTCATCCTCATAGAAGATGACCATCTCCTTTTCTTCCTCTTCAACTTTTTCCTTGTCCGGATCTGTTTTAATCTCTTCTTTGTCTTCATGTGCCTTGTCATCCTTACTCTCCTCTTCTTCATCGTCATCCTCATAGAAGATGACTACCCCGCCAGTGTCTTCCAGTTCATGAAGAGGCGTTTCAACCCCACGGCCGCCATTATTTGTCTCGCGTCCTTTATTCTGCCTGTCCTCACCTTCTTCCTCTTTGTTTTCCCCTTCTCGTTTTGATTTTGTAGCCTGAATGTCTTCCTCAGAAATCTCTGCTCCGTCCTCGGTATTTTTAATAGTATTGAGAACAATGTTCAGCTTTTGCTTTGGTACAAGGATGGATCCGTAGGTGAGGAGCAGAGAACACGGCACATAAGGACTCTCCCCGTACTGCACTCGCTCCATCATGAGCTCAACTTTTTTCATCATAGACGCTTCTCGAGGAGACAGTTCTGATTCCTTCCCGTGGAGAATTTCCAAAACATCGGCATACCAAAAGCGAACGTCACAATCTTGTTGCATATCTTGGCTGACGAAAAGAAAATAGGAAAATGAACATCAAAATTCAGTTAAGAAATAATTCATTATTCTTATTCTAAGACAAATAAAATTAATCACGGATACAGGTTTCATAAACATAAACAGACAAACGGGGAAGGGGGAGGGGGGGGGGGGTAGGAGGACAAGTCCTGGGCCATCCACCCAGAAGGGGCTTCTCGCCAACATAGTGTAGTATCTAGTCAGAAATGCTGCGTGAATTGGGCTTCAGTTTCAGTGATATCATCAGTGACTTTGCCGCACGAAACTCGAGAAAAGTGGACTGTTATGGCTATAACTCCATCGATTCTCTGATTTGAACTACATGTAAATACAATTAGAACAGACATGCACCTATTGCAGAATGGCATCATGCAGAAGAGTTAGCACTCAGATGCTGCTGGATCAGTAACAATAACAACAACAACAACAACAGCAACAACAACAACAACAACAACAACAACAACAACATTTAAATAATTAGTTATACTCTACTTTTTCATTAAAAAATTAATAATTTTAACAGAATTTCTCTGCGAAAATAAATTGTATAAAAACAACTAATGCTCATTTCATTTTCATTAGGTGTTTATGCATTACATATCATATTTTTTAAAATGGAAGAATAGTCCCCGTTCAGTATTTTCTAACTAAAAGTGTCCTATTTATACATGTATATGGATTTAGGTTACTAGTCTGTGGTGTATGTAGTAAGGGAGAGTTGGAAAGGGGGCCTCCCTCCCAAGCGGCCCCCAGGAATCTCACCTGTTTAATCCAGCCCTGCTACCATTATGTGTCCACTAATCGGCATTCTGATTACTATAGGCTCTAGTGTGTGTGTGTGTGGGGGGGGGGGGGGGGGGATACGAAAGATATGTGAATGCTTCTTCTTTTTTTTTTTTTTACTTTGTAATGCACGTATTACATGTGTCAGAATTGAGGAAGTGTGTTATGATAAAACAAAAATCGCAACGGTGACAAACGAACTTGCTTCCCCTTTCATTGATGCCACTGTTTGTTGTTATTTATAAGTTTAAAAAAATTCTATTTAGTCTTCAATTCTCTTTGAAATGGGCTAACTAAGGGAGAGTTGCATTGCTCAAAACAAAATAAAACAAAACGAACACCAAAACAAAAAAGTATTCCCGAGAAAAAAACAGAGCAAAAAAAAAGAAAAGAGAAAGCAAACAGATCTAGTTTGTATTATGTGTTTGCAATATCGTATTATATGCTTTTTAGTGAATGGTTTAAAAATCAAACGATCTCACACGATGGAAAGAGTGTGTTCTGCGTCTGTGCCACCGATCTCCCCTCATATCGACCTGGCAGTGTCGTTGTGAACCACAGAGTGTATTGACTTTTTTGGCGCCATGTGTTCCTCGGCTAAGCATAGTACACAGCAGTGGGTTGAGCACACGTGTACAGCAATAAGCCAAGAGCTGATAACAGTTTAGATATATCCCCAACACTACAATACGGTGATTTGGGAGATCAACCCGCCCCCCCCCCTCTTTTCCCCACCCTTTTCTCCCCCTTTTCTCCTCGCTTCATTCTCCTCCTCCTCTTCCTCCTCCTCCTCCTCATCCTCCT